ACAACATGCCCTGCAAAAACAAGTTAGACGTTCTCTACTTTGTTTGTTGCAAGTTTTATGTGGCTGCTACGGGCTTCTAGCATGAACCATACATACCTACGGCACAAAAACCACAACGGTGATTTATCAAGTTTGTTGCTTTAACCTTCACAAGGACCGGCAGCAGTCAAATTCAATTCAACTAAAGTTGGAGAAACAGACACCCGCCAGCCACCTTTATGCAAAACTAGTTGCATGTCTATCGGTGGAACCGTTCTCATGAACGTGGTCATGTAAGGTTGGTCCGGGATGCTTCATCGAACAATACCGCCGAATCAAAATAAGACATTGGTGGTAAGCAATATGACGATCACCGCCCACAACTTTTTGTGTTCTACTCGTGCATATCATCTATGCATAGACCTGGCTCTGATGCCACTGTTGGGACACATAGCGTGCAATTTCAAAAAAAATCCTACATTCACGCAAGATCTATCTAGGATATGCATAGCAACGAGAGGGGGGGAAGAGTGTGTCCACGTACACTCGTAGACCGAAAGCGGAAGCGTTAGCTTAACGCGGTTGATGTAGTCGAATGTCTTCTCAATTCAACCGATCAAGCACCGAACGTACGGCACCTCCGAGTTCTGCACACGTTCATCACGATGACGTCCCTCGAGCTCTTGATCTAGCAGAGGGTCGAAGGAGTAGATGAGTTCCGTCAGCACGACGACGTGGTGATGGTGATGGTGAAGTAACCTGCGCAGGGCTTCGCCTAAGCACTACGACAAATATGACCGGAGGAGTAAATGGTGGAGGGGGGCACCGCACACGGCTAAGAACAATTGATGTGCCTAGAGGTGCCCTCCTGCCCCCGTATATAAAGGAGGGAGAGGGGAGAAGGCCGGCCTAGGGCGTGCCCCATGGAGGGGAAGTCCTACTAGGACTCCTAGTCCTATTCGCACCCCCTTCCCTCTAACGGAGGGGAAAAGGGGGAAGGAGAGGGAGAGGGAGAAGGAAAGGGGGGTGGCGCCCCCTTACCTAGTCCAATTCGGCCTCCTCCCTTGTGTGTGTGTTGGGGGGGGGGGGGGCGCACCAGCCCCTTGTGGGCAGGTTAGCCTCCCTCCTATGGCCCATATGGCCCATATCTTTCCCCGGGGTTTCGATAACCCCTCCGGTACTCCGGTATGTATCCGATACACTCTGAACCCTTCCGGCGTCCGAATACTACCTTCCAATATATCAATCTTTACCTCTTGACCATTTCGAGACCCCTCGTCATGGAAGTGATCTCATCCGGGACTTCGAACAACCTTCGGTCACCAAAACACATAACTCATATAATATGTATCGTCATCGAACGTTAAGCGTGCGGACCCTACGGGTTCAAGAACTATGTAGACATGACCAAGACACCTCTTCGGTCAATAACCAATAGCGGAACCTGGATGCTCATATTGGTTCCCACATATTCTACGAAGATCTTTATCGGTCGAATCGCAATGTCAACATACGTTATTCCCTTTGTCATCGGTATGTTACTTGCCCGAGATTCGATCGTCGGCATCTTCATACCTAGTTCAATCTCGTTACCGGCAAGTCTCTTTACTCGTTTTGTAGTGCGTCATCCCATAACTAACTCATTAGTCACATTGCTTGCAAGGCTTCATATGATGTGCATTATCGAGAGGGGCCAGAGATACCTCTCCAATACTCGGAGTCACAAATCCTAATCTCGATCTATGCCAACCCAACAAACACCTTCGAAGATACCTGTAGAGCATCTTTATAATCACCCAGTTAAGTTCTGACATTTTATAGCACACAAGGCATTCCTCCGGTGTCCGAGAGTTGCATAATCTCATAGTCGGAGAAATATGTATTTGACATGAAGAAAGCAGTAGCAATAAAACTGAACGATCATTATGCTAAGCTAACGGATGGGTCTTGTCCATCACATCATTCTCCTAATGATGTGATCCTGTTCATCAAATGACAACACATGTCTATGGCTAAGAAACTTAACCATCTTTGATTAACGAGCTAGTCAAGTAGAGGCATACTAGGGACACGGTTTTTTGTCTATGTATCCACACATGTATCAAGTTTTCGATTAATACAATTCTAGCATGAATAATAGACATTTACCATGATATAAGGAAATATAAAACAATAACTTTATTATTGCCTCTAGGGCATATTTCCTTCAAGTCAAACATAGATTGACCAGGTAAACTAAGTAAAACAGAACAAGGAGTATCAATGGGAGCAGTAGATGTAGATAATTTAGAGAAGAAGGAGGACCACGGGGAAGGACTCGAACTGTGCCCAGGCAGCGTCGTCGTGGCCGAGGATGGGGCGGCGGTGAGGCGCTGGACATCGATGTCGCAGAGCAGCGGCTCGTCAACGTACGTCTGCCATGACATCCTTCTCGCTTGCTTGCCCGTTTTTTTCTCTCCCGAGATTTTGCCATCCCCTTCCTCCTCCTCTTCCGCAACAATCATGACGTCCGGGTGGAATAAGAAGATGAGATGGTTTGGGGGAGAAGCGGATCTGGGGAGGATGCTTTCTCCAGTGAACGGCGTTAGAGCAACTGGCATGGGCGGCGGCGGTGGCGCAACCCTAGGAGAAGAGGAAAGGAGAGGTTGCGTGCAGAGAGAAAAAGAGGAGTCAGACTCCATTGCTCGAGGCGGCTGCGGCTCTCTTCTGGACGAAGCAAGGAAAAAGTCATCGAGAGTTTACCCTATGGAGGTGTTAATTGAGCCATAGTAAATTGCGACGTGGCATAGGGGAGTAGTCATCCCTTCTGCGTACGTTAATGTTTTTAGTGTCCCGATCAATCACACAAATTCCTAAAGGCAGCAAAAAAACTAATGAGAAATTTTTGGGAAAACCACAAGAAAAATAAAAAATAAGAGTTACCTTAAATTAACTTTAGTCATGGGGAAATTGTTAGCCATTTGGTTGAACAACTTCTAGATGTCTATAAAAAATCATTGCTATGCGTGAGGCTTAGATTTGAGTCTTACTGCATGCATGCACATGCCAATTAAGCTCTCACGTCTCTTCGTAGTGTGTTACTCACTCCAGTCAGCAGTTTAGGCTGAGCATGGCCACCAAGGCGCAATTCATCACACTCTCGGAGGCCTTGGAATCGCCGAAACTATCCTTCCTCTCTGGCCTGCCGGGGTGAGCCGCATTATCGCCCATCAATACTGTCGACGTGGTGCGGCGGCGCGCAATTAATGTAGGTTTCCTGCTAGCTAGTGTGCCATCCTACATGTAAGCACTATGAAAGACATGTAGGCATTATGGAAGAACATGACGGCACTTCCCTTCAGCCCTGTCGGCGTGCCGGAGTATCTAGAGGTGAACACTTCCCTGGTATGGGCTGGTGGATAGCGTACAACACCGTCCAACCAGGCATGGGGCGGACGACCGTCGTGCTCATCAACACCCTCGATGGTTCGGCCTCAGAGGGCTGGCTATGGTGCATCACATTTTGGGCAGCGATGTGATAGTCTTTCAGATCGGGCCCCTCCCCGTTGCGACAGCTGAATCAGATGAGTGATAAGCCTAATAAATAATAGCCGCGCCACGTTTCGTGTCCCCTAATTATGGCAGATTTTAATGATGGTTTGCATGCCCTGTTTTTTTGGACTTGTTGAGGGTATTAATCAACAACAAATCTGGCATGCGAGGTGGAGCCGGACGAAGCGGAGTGGGGTGAGGTGAGGTGAGGGTGAGTCATGAGTGGAAGTGGGAGGTCAAACTAAACTAAGCAATGTAATACGGCAGATGGATCCTTACTCTTTTGTTAGGTATAGATAGTATAGGGAAGAAATAATTTCACTAAAACTATGCGAGGAGCATTGATCAGCTCATCCGACGGCCACGAATCCTTGAAGGCTGAATTGGTTCATCATCGGAAGCAGAAGCAGGGAACGAGCGATCCCCTCCCGGACACGACGCCCCTATCGCTCGCTGCTTCCGGTGCCGCGTGTCAGCGTGCGCAAAGCTCACCCTCATCGCCGCCGCCACCGCCGCCGCCGCTCAACCCATCCCGCCGGCCCCGCCCTGTTCCATGGCCGCCAAGTGGGCCCAGAAGACCGTCGTCATCCCTGCCCAGCGCCGCGGCTGCCACCTCATCACCCCCAAGGTTTATTCACCCTCAATCTCACCCGAGCCGCGCCTCGCCTCACCGCCTCGTTCGCACAATCCAGGGTTTCATCCTTTTGCTGATGGCGATTCTGCTGTTGTTATGTCGAGCGCTGCAGGTTTTGAGGGAGATTGAGGGCGATCTCTCCGGGTTCAAGTGCGGCTTGGCGCATCTGTTCCGTACGTACAGATACAACTAACTGAATCAACTTACGATCTGTTCCTTCTCGTTTAGAGAGAAGCTGTATTATGCTAGACGGTTTTCTATGTAGAAAGCGAGGTTTCTCTTAAAGAAGGAAATAAAAGTATATGTGATGGAAATTTGCTGAACTGGGCTTCAGTAGCTTGGTCAAATTTACTAGCCTTGAGGTTCTGTGCATGGTTGTGTGTTTTTTTGGCCTTAGAGAGGGGTTCTGGTATGTTGTACTGTACAAAGTGTGTGCGCACGGTATTTAGGGAAGGCAAGCTATGCGTGTTTGTCGAGAACTGTATCAAGGTTTCTTGTTTTGATCATATATGAGGAAATCAAGTATAGTGCTTGTGTGATGTCTTACAGTGATAGCATATTTGACAAGTTAGAGCTATTTCATGGCTTACATCATTTGCCATTGTTTCGTTTTGAATAACTTTATGGGAGTTCAATATCAATAAATAGCACCATAAGAAAATGGAGCATGATAACTAAACGAAAGGTGAGCACAGGAGCAAGACATCAGGAGTGAAACTTTACTGTAGACAGGTGAAACTATAAATATCGAATTGTCACCAATTAAGCATGTAGAGAGCGATGCAATATTTTTTTGTATGCATGTGGATAAACTGATAACCATGTAGAGCACACATACTCAGGTATTTTGGTACTAATGAAATTCCAACGCTCTGCAGTGCAGCACACAAGTGCTTCCCTGACCATCAATGAGAACTATGACTCTGATGTGCAGGCTGACACCGAAACATTCCTTAACAAAATTGTCCCAGAGGTCAGTGCTCTGATTTTTTTTCTTGTCTTATTCCGAAGTGTGATCACTTACGTGTTGCTTCACTGTGTTGATTATTGTCAGGGCCGATCTGCTCCTTGGAAGCATACTATGGAAGGTTAGCATTGTTATTTGTTTGGGTTTAGCTAAACCAGTAGAGTATGCTGCACTTTAAATTACAGTGGCATGGCAGTGATTTGATTATTGGAGACCGTACTATTCCCGTTATTGCATTCAGATGATCAGATCATAATACTTCAGTTTTAATTCCAGGACCGGATGACATGCCAGCACATATTAAATCATCAATGTTTGGCTGTGCTCTGACGTATGTGTTTGCTACCTTCCTTTTTCTCCCATTTCATTTCTCTTCTACTTTGTCTAAAATAATAATAAGCTGTATTCTTGCTCTAATTTCTTCAGAATTCCTATAACTGATGGACATCTCAACCTGGGCACTTGGCAGGTAAGAAAAAAAAATATACATGTTCCAGAATTTATCATCTCTTACTATCTGGCCGTTTCAGCCTTTGCTCATTAGTATATCATCATGGCTGTTTTGTTGTCCCCTTTCAATCCTTAATACTCTCTTTATTGTTGGATATACCACGAGCATGACTGGATTGCTTGCGTAGTTCCCAGATGATGAATGAAAAGTTATGAAATTACAAGCAGTATTGTATAGGAGGTTCATATTGACTATGCTTCGACTGGATTCAAAATTGTTTTCTAAGACCATACTTAGTACGGACAAGCACCTTTGGCGTACATTATATAGTATCTGATGTTCAAGCTCAGTCTCAGTAAGAACATCAATAGTAGTTGAAACCCTGGGAAACGAACTGAACAGAAGAATCCATACTTATTGTAGATTACACGATTTGTTTTGGGAGTGCAAAATCTCACCTGAACCTACTTTTTTTCAGGGCATATGGCTGTGCGAACATCGTGATCATGCCAGCGCCCGTAAAATCGTGGTCACCCTCAACGGGATCTAAACGGAGTATTAGAAACCTGGAGGAAGGAGGAATGCTGGGCAGCTTTAAGCACCAGCATGGAAAATCAGGACCTGAGAGCTTTGAACATGTCGTGTACGGATCGTCGGTCTGTATGTATGAATGAGTAGTGCAAAATTTCAATAAATTGGGAGCCAACATGAGTGTTCAAAATGTGGGACGCACCCGGTTGTTTGAATAGAACATAAGAGTTTTTTGTCCATGTAGTTGAAGAAATCTGTCTTTTTTTATATGAATGAAGAAAGAAACATGCCTTGCAAATGCGTGACATATCAGATTGCTTTTTCCTTTTCCCCTCGCAGACGGATCGAACTGAACAAAGTTGTTGAATTACTAGCCGACTTCCGGCGCTCTGCAACTGACGAAGGGACAACGGACTGCAGGTGCAACGATGAGGTGGCACCATCCATTTGCAAGGCCACCCTCACGAACGGAGAAGCGAGACAAAAATCGTGGCTCAAGAGTTCACCCCCAAATCCCGATTCCACTCCGAGAAGCCATGGCGGCGGCTGCTCTCTTCACGGGCTCCCCCGGAACCTTCCACTACCGGGGGCGCACCCGGCCTCTCCGTCGCGTCCGCGCCGGCATGCTCTCCCGCCTCGCACGCGCCCCGTCTCCGCGCTCGCGCTCCTCGATGCCACCGCGTGTCTTGAAGCGCATGGCCATGGGCGGAGTTACGAGGTGAGAGCCGTTAAGAACTGTTACCATCCCCCTCCCCCTCGCGTTTCAATTTCCATGGCATTTTAAGGCAGGGCAGGCGAAAGAGGGGGCGTTATCTGTTTGCCTCCCGAGCATGCCAAGAAAGAAACTCCCGAGCACGAGGGCTTAGCTAGATAGACGGGGCCTCTGAATCTAAATTAAGCAAGCACGAGCATGCCAAAGGCTGCCCGTCGTCCTAATTTTAGAGCCCTTTTTCTTCACCTTCGTCTCCGCTCCACAATCTCATATGGGGACATTTTGCGAGCCTTGGCTGGGTGGGGCTGGAGATAGATCGCCGCCTCCTCTAAATTTTATTTCCCGTCGTTTCATGTGAGGTGAGGCGCCACCCTCCTCTCTGTTTTTTTCCCCCTCAATCAATCAAAACGCCGTCCCGTTCCTTCAATCTTCTTCTTAGCTTGGGATTAGAATTTGAGGCCTGTAATTTTGCATGTCTGGTGAGAGGCTGATTGATCGGGTTTGCCCCCTCCCCCCTGCAACTGTTCAGCTACATTACATGATCTTTCCTTGTAGCAGATCCTTCCATCTTCTGTTTCACACTTCAATCACCCTTTTGCATGCTTTTTAATTCAATTCATGGAAAAAATCGAGAGGATCAACCCTTCTGCCTCTTCATCTTATTCTTGTAGTATTGTTTTCGAGTGCATAGATATATCTCTTGTGTTATTTTCCTTGTAAACAAATCCAAATGATTCTCGCGATTGCTTCTCCGGGGCTCAAGGGAGCGTTATGCTTTGCAGGGTGCTCCTCCTGGCTAAATGGGAGGTAGATATCCTCACATGCTTTTGATCCTCATACTCCTTCATGGAGCCAATGCCGCTATAGATGCTCCGGTACAGAAATGGCAGACTCTGGATGGTAAACATCTTTTATCCCTTTTCTTCTCTTGCTCGACTTTCAATTTCCCCCCCACTCGATCGAGCATTTTGATCTGCCACCACACGGGCCATGTTGCCAAAGTGCTAATCATCCTATCATTCTCCTACAGGTCGTCCTCCTCTAGTCATCGCTCGTGGAGGCTTCTCTGGCTTATTTCCCGAATCAAGCAGGTTTGCGTATGAGTTTGCGATGACAGCTAGCTTGCCTGGAGTCGTTCTGGAGTGTGATCTGCAATTGTCCAGTGACGGTGTGGGCTTCTGCAGAAGTGGCTTAACGCTTGATAAGTCAACACTAATTGCTGAAGTGTACCCTAAGAAGGACAAAACATACAAGCTGGGTTTAGAAGATATTCATGGGTGGTTTGCTGTGGATTTCACCTCAGACGAGCTCATAAATAATGTCACAGGTATGCATGCAAAACTCCTGAACCGTTTGAACTGCAAAGTAAAATATTCTATATTTTATCTGTGCTTCACGACGATTTGCAATGGTAAAGCATCAAAACTGTTAAACACTCGTCATTTTCTTCCATATTTGGAACACGTGAGGTTGGAATTGTATCCTTGCCTCGTTGGAGCTGGTTTGCCATTTGAGCTCTTTTAAGATGAGACACGCCGACTTACCTCTTAGGACCTGTAAGAGTAGTATTTAATCCAAGCGGTCCATTGATCAAAGGCAGCTTTGGCTATTTGAGCATTCCACTACCTTATAGCAAGTTCTTGTTCATGTTAAAACGGAAAGTTGTTTATGGACCTAATTATCCCTTCTCAATCAACGATCTTTCATATATGCTAGTAAAGAACTAAAGAGACCAACATTTTTATTTATATTACATGAATGTATTGCAAGAACTATACAACATCCAAAATGTATGCAAAAGGGTCATTTTGTTTAATGTGTTTTGATGCTGTTTCTAATTTCCTAGGCCATACATCTAGACTAGGATTAATACTCGTAGCATTATCTTAGCACATGTGGCATCCAAAAAGAATATCGCTGATGTTATCTTTACATAACGTGTACCCCCTCCATTCCCATGAGTAGGGCATAAATTTTTTCTCCAATTTTTCCCTTGAACAAGGCGCAGGGTGCAGCGTACACCCATTTCTCCCCAAACTACCCCTACTCTCTCGGTCTTATCTCCCTCAGTTCCAGCGATGTGCTGATCCTCCGCTCCATCTCTCCCCAATGGATAAGCGGTCCCTGCAGTGCTTTTGATCTGCGCATCGTGTGGGACGTGGGGGGACTTGCGAAGCGCTGTGTGGGTGTGGGTCTGTGGTACGAGAAGCAAGGTACAACAAGTGAGGATGTCATTAACTAATGCTAGGAGAGATTTTTTTTTTCTCAGGAGTAGCATGGGTCAGTTTCGTCGCTCGAGGACTCTCCTTGGGGTTAGCGAACGAAAAATTATGCCGTATTTATAGGAACGGAGGGATTAGCAGCTAACACAATATATCAACAATGCAAGGACGGTCAAATGATGTGTGTTAATTAAATCCATCTGTTTCCTTTCATGCTTCGTGCGGTGTATATATACTACCTACTTGAGTTATTGATGTACACACATATTGTTATTATTTTTTTGGAAAGTTTCCGAGTATTAATGAATGTGTTACTAATGGCACACGGACTATTTACATAGTCCGAAGAAAACCTAACACATTTTTTTTACACCTGAGCTAGCTAATCGTGAATCCAAAACTAGAATAGAACCCATTGATTGGCCTTGTTTATTTCCTTATTTATCACCACACCTTAGTGAAGTCCGTATTAACCCTATGGGACCATTAATAGACTCTTATCTACTACTCCCTCCGTTTTTATATACTTCGCATATTAGTTTTGGTCAAAGTCAAGCTTTATAAACTTTGACAAAATTTATAGACAAAAATATTAACATGTACAATTACAAATCAATACCATTAGATTCATTATTGAATGTACTTTCGCATCATATAAAATTGTTATCATAAATATTTATATTTTTTCCTATAAACTTGGTCAAACTTTATGAAGTTTGACTTCAGTCAACTCTAATATGCAGAGTAAATAAAAACGGAGGAAGTATAATGCTAGTCATAGTGGAGCACAAACACCTCTCACCTCATTAACTACTTGCCACATAAACAAACTTGCCTTGAGGTGCGTTATGTTCCTAGCTAAGTTACTCCCACTATGGCCAGCCTAAGGTAATAATAATATTAGCATCCCCACTGCCCCCACTAGTTCACACAGAACTAACGGCTCATATCAGTTTGGGTGTACCTTGAAATTCCTCTTTTCATTTAGCTTCTGAAACTTTTGTTGTTGCGGAATATTGACGTGTCCTGTTGCTTGATCGTTCCTTAGTGATCCAAACTATTTTTTCTCGCCCAAGCACATTCGATGCCATGATGGGAATGTATACGCTTGATGATATGGCTGGACTCCACCCGCAACAAATTTGGGTTAATGTGGAGGTAAATGGGATTTCACTAATATTCAGAAGTTCACCAAGGCTCCCATATTACTGCACTATGTTTTCTATCCAATAAAGTTCATGTTTCCTTTTGCAGTTCGATGGTTTTTATAGGGATCACAATTTAGATATCGAAGATTACATATTAAAATTACCAAAAGATTATCCTATTGCCTACATATCCTCGCCAGATATTTCATTCTTGAAAAGTATTGGTGGAAAGCTTAAGGGCAGGGCTAAGCTAATTTTGCGGTGTCTCGCTGAGAATGTTACCGAGACAAGCGTCAAGAAATCATACGGAGAAATATTGAAAGATCTGAAATCTGTCAAGGCTTTTGCATCAGGAATTATGGTCCCCAGGAATTATGTTTGGCCAGTGAATAACAATCTGTACTTGCTCCCACCTACCAGTTTGGTCAAAGATGCACATGCCCTAGGGCTGGAAGTGCATGTAGGATCGTTTGCCAATGATATCCTTACGAGTTACAACTACAGCTATGATCCTGCCGCGGAATACTTGCAGTTCATAAACAACCCAGACTTCACTGTAGATGGTTTGATGACTGACTTCCCGCCCACTGCATCAGGAGCTGTCGGTAAGCACTGAGAACTATTCCATGTTGAAAAAGCCAAGTGCATATTTGGTTGATGCCTAGCATTGCCACAACTAACCATAGGGGTTGTCACGACAGGTTAATTATCACATTACGCATGATAGGAACATACTGATTACGCATAATTTCTCATCTTTTATTTGTTCCTTGATAACATCTTGAGGATCTTTGCAGCGTGCTTGGCACATAATGAAGCAAATGCTCTTGCTTCAAGTAAGCTGTTTTTTCTTTTCTTTATACGTCGCAGTATGCACTTTCTTAACTCATCATCATCCTACGATTGACTAATTTCTCTATTCAATTAGATGGAGAGA